GTAGACCCCAAACTCGCCCGCCTAAACACCCTCAAATCCGCCCTAGCGCAAAAACTCCGCGAAAAAGAACACCAAACCAAACTCCAACTCACTGCGGAAATCGAGCGTCTTCTCGTCGTTAATCGCGAACTCGTCGAAGGCGAGGGACAACTCTCCCACCTTCTCTCTAAACTCGCGGACGAACAACAACGCATCTCTACAAACTCCGCTATATTAGAGGAGAAGAATAAGGAGATTGAGGGGGTGGTGGAGGAGTTGAAGGGGATGGGGGAAGTGAATCCTGATGATGTTGTTTTGGGGAGGGGAGTGGGTGGTGTACAGGTTTTTGAGGTTGTGGCGGATGAGTATGCGATTGATGATGCGGTTTACTGTTTGAGTAATGCGTTGAGTAGGGAGGTTATTGGGTTGCAGGTTTTTATGAAGGTGGGTTTTTTTTGGGGTGGTTTGGAGGTTTTGTGGGTTTTACGCTTTTGGAGGGGTGGGTGGTTATCGACTACAGGGAATGTGGAATGAGGATTCACGATTCACCATACTGATCTTTTATTGTCCTTCTATATCCCGCAGCATGTGAGAACGTTGGCGAGGGATCAGTTTATGCGGAGGGCGTTGATTAAGAAGATTAGGGCGCAGGGTGGGTTGGGTGTTGCTGGGTAGGGGAAGTGCATTTGGAAGGGGATTGATCTTGGTGCGGTTTGTACTATGTGTGGAATGGTCGTGTTGGTTGTTACTGTAATATGGTACCAGTTTGGTCGGTGATTTGAGAGTGATGGTGTTTGGATAAGAGGGACGGGGTGGGGTGGAGTTGTGGTCAAGTTGAATGTCGATCATGACAATGATGTTGTCGCCGCGGGCGCTGGGCACATCAACTGTCTAAGGTTCAGGCAGATATCCCTTTTTGCTTGGCGTTAGGGTGGCATGAGTTTCTTGGAACAGGTTTGCCGAGTAGCGCATGACGTTGAAGGAGTGGTAAGATATTTGCGTATCACGTCTGAAAGATTATAGCCCGTCGTGTTCGGGCGGTGTCGTGTGATTGTTCCGTTGTCCTCTTTTTTGTGTATGGGTCGCATTGCCGCATGGAGCAGGTTTCATTCAAATTGGATGTGATGTACAAGGAGCATGTGCGTCAATCATGGGTCTGTCTTATGGTTGGTGGGCCCTCGTCCATGCACTTTTCATATATTCTTCCCTTTTTGGATGACTGCCTCCACTACCATTTCGAATGGAACAAAGGGCAAATACAGAGGAGATGCCACGACACAATGGGCAAGGGAAGGAAGCAGCGATTTCCTTGCGTCGCTGCTGCAAGTCGACGTTCAGAGCAAATACATCGAAAATGATTCGTTCAGAACTCTCGATTTGCCTTTTGTTGATAAGTTTTTCCATACCTGTGGTTCTTCTGGTGAGCACTCCATGCTGCCGACCACACTTATGTATGCTCAGAAGGCTTTCTCGGTTTGACACCCATTTTCAACACGACTGTGCCCCTTTGTTTTCCTGTGCTCACTTCCTTTCATATAACCGAGTATACGGAAGGAAACACTCGGAGGGATGATTGATGGAACGATGGAACTTGGCACCACCCATTCCGCTCTCAGCATCGCAAGATTGTCTTTGCACCCGACGACGATAGAAGAAAAAGAAAATGAATGTGCTTTCGGGTAATTCCTCTTATTCGCGGAAGGCGCCGCTGAGACTCCGACAGAAGCGAAAGTAGTGATTGACGACTTCTTGATCGTTGCACTCCTTGCTTGGCAACAAGTCACTTTGCCTTGGTGTTGGTGCCGCGCCCAACTTTGCAGGAGATCACGGCCCGAAAGGATTGAGTTGCAACCATGTTTCTAACGGTCTGAGTTATGCCGGAAGGCACAAAAAGGAAAGCGGGACCCCCCAGAAGTGCCAGACATTCAGTAGTGACGATGAACAGGGCATTAGATTGGATTTATATCATACCCTGGGCATACATGTCCCTCCATGATCATGAGATGGAATATCGGGAATTCTGAGACAGCCATAACCATGCCTGGAGGCTAGGTCATGGAGGTGTCAAGATGCAGTGTCGTGGGACATCTGACTGTGCCAAGTCTCACGTCCGGTGGGAGTTGAATAAAACCTGATTCATGCCCATTTTTTGCTGGATCGATGCCATTTTCGTATCCGTTTTTCATGAACGTCGCGGCAGCTCTCCAATGGTGTAGACGTATTGCTCGACGGGCTCACATTGTGCTGTTCACCAAGACCAAATCATTATCGTTGGGGTGTGGGTCTTTGATTCCGTAACTCGCAGGAACACTGATCGAAGGATCAACAGATGAGATTCCCAAGGATGCTTCATGCCGAGCATTTTGCACAACAGTGAATGGCAGACTTTTCATTCCGACCCATTTATGGACTTTTGCACAAGCAAATTGCGCCCTACCACTAGACGGAGTGGCAGTCGTCCATTGGCGCATTGTGCTTACTTGACATCTTTTTATGCGTTTTTTGTACTCAAGCTGGGGTTTTAGCTTTCGAAGTCATTGCTGACATCCACAAAAGCCCTCTTTTTGAGAAGCGACGCAATCGCTGGACAAAAAAAGAGTAGAACAACCGAAGGAGTGGCGCACTGAGCCCAGCCGACTGGGATGGACTGGATGGTGGGTGACTTGCGCGAGTATGCAATACTGCACATGGATTTGAAGCAGGTCAACAGATTGTGCCGCTTGCAATTTCTGGAGAGATGCAACAAGTGCGCATGCAAGGTCGGAACAGACAGAAAGACTTACAAAAATTGTTGACGTCCATTCTGTCATATTTTGTCTGGTTGTTTCTTTTTGCTTATCAAACGTCCTTGGCCGAACATGTACACAACCGTATTGATTGGCTACCATTCCATTTCATGATGAAACGTTGATCTGTGCACGATACTCGCCAAGAGGATGACATTGGGTAACATCGCGTGCGATGCGCAAAACCACCCTTTCCGTGTTGTCTCGACGCCTTCACCGTTTTTTTGTCATATCCTACTTGCGAAATGTCCTTACAAGTCGCCTCAATGTTACTGCACATTCAGTCACCATGCACTGGATGGGGAAGAAGAATCCGTGCGCCCGGAAGGGAGATGTAATCAAAGTAGGGCGGAACAAGTAGATGGCTTGGGCCGTCCGCACCCGGCCTTGGCAGAATTGGCAATTTGATTTGGGATCAATTGAAACGATGGGGGTTCATGTGGTACATCGGCAGGGGCACACGTTCTCACTCAAATCGAAGGGAAGCTTAAGGCCGCTCAATGTTTCCATGATCTAAGTAGCATCATTTGACGTACCACGCAGGTTGCTGATCTCGACAACAACGCAAAAAAAGGACAAACTGGTCTCGCCGGACTGATTTCATGGGCAGTAAGAGCCGCGCATGTTCCGACAAGTAGGAAACAGTGACTATATGTGGAGGAGGGAGATTTGGTTGGACTTATGGAATAGTGATCAGCTGTGATTTTCTGTCCCCTGTCCCTCCCTGCTCTTGGTTCACGTACAGGACATTACGGATCAACAAGATTTTGAGAAGGAGCCGTCACGACACTGAGTTTCATCATTCGTGAAAGGGTTTCGAGCTTCCAACCCTGTTCACGAACCACTTAGAATTGTCCATGGTGTGTTCAGAGTGTTCCACGCCGGCAGATCATCATCAGCTGGGCTCTTGCAGCCACGACAACTAAATTCGTCCAAGGGGTTACAACCGGATGTACTGCAACAGGCGGAAAGAGCCGCCGGGACTCCACCAAGAGTCATACGCAAACAAACACTCACTGGTGCGAGGGAAGTTGTATTTTTTGCCAAATGGTATCCTGCAGATCCCGGCAAATCGGTCGACCGTACCATCAAGGGACAGGATTGACTGAAAACGGGATCGAGTTGGCAAAAAATGGTAGATCCTGTAGATTCCGGCAAATCGGTCGTCCGTACCATCAAGGGACAGGATTGACTGAAAACGGGATCGAGTCGCGAAGAGCCTTATCTCGCCAGAACAGAAAACGGTTGACAAAAAGAGGAAATACTGGTGCTTCCATAGTGCGCAGACGTATAATTGAGGTAGTCTACATCGCACCTGCATCTCGGTCAGAACACTGAAGGGGTTCACTGAGTTCGATTCCATCGGTGACTATGGAGTCCACACCAGCATGGGTGGTGCCCTGTTGACATTACCACCATTGCAAAGGTGGGTGTTCTATAGTCATTCACCCCCAGCAAAGTTTTTATCGAAAACGAGTCTCCTTTTTGCACACATTCGATGAGATTGCGAGAGCTGGCCCACATATTGGAGATCAAAACTAACAGTTGCTATCAAGAATGGCACCGAGCATCTTCTCATCTCATTGCTCCGTGTCTGCGTTGTTTTCTGTTTCGCATTGGTCTGGAAACGGAGCAGTCCCAATTATGGAGGAATGATCGGAAGGTTGATATATGAAGAGCACATTGTAAATGTATCCTTGGTCAGTGGAAGCAGGGTCGTGGTAACTCAGAGGAGCACAATGATCAAACCCACGACATTTACCGGATCGTACAGACGGTTCTCTTCACGCGTTCAACGATTCAGTCTAACACCTTTTCCCCAATTTGCGTACAATAACCATGCGATAACTCGTTCTGACTGTGGGGAAATGGGCAACGAAACGAAAGCCTTCAAAGCTTCGTGGGTTGCGCCACTCTTGGCGGACGAAAAAGAACAAGCAAAGCACTCATTTGCCGACCGAGGCAGTCTTGCATTCGATTCGGCCGACTGGAACGTCGTACATGTTGTGGACAATATGCATCACTTCACAGTCACCCGCATTCAATATCGGAGTCCATCATCAGATGGCGCAAAATGCATGATATGGACGTGCTATATACTCGGTAAGTACTGATGAGCTATCATCGGGCAGAATTTTGTATCTTGTTTTGGCCTGAGTGCACATGATGCTCGGCTGACAGGAGGCTGTTTGGAAGGCGAACGCGTCGCAAAAACCACCCGTGAACAAAATTGAGTGCACGAGGTGGGGTTCGAACCCACGCATCCGAAGATATGGGATCTTAAGACCCACGCCTTAGACCAACTCGGCCACTCGTGCTTGTTTGGCATCGTACAAAAATTTAACTATTATATACGTACGCTTATCAAGCTAACCCCGCTTTTCGGCTGCACTTTGGCGGTCTGTCATGATGAATGGATTTTCGATCGATCTCACATCAAAACATGTCCCAAGAATCCATCCTATTTCTCACCCCACCTGTCTTCAATGTGAAAGATACACACACAAATGCAGTTAGTATCCATTCACGCCGCGTAATCGTGCTTATTGGGAAATGTGAAATTGTGAGATTAGGTCCATTTGAGCAGCAGAACATTCGGTAAACGCGAAACGACTATTTCGAAAATTATCACAGCAGGATAAGTGTTCTTCAAAGTCTCGCAAGCGAGGCATCCCAATACCGCAAACGAGGCATCCCAGATGCTCGTCGCCAATTTAACGGAGGTAAGCTTTTCAAAGGGATGAGTCCGTGCCGGGCGTTTGCTCCGCACTCCACTAACTGGAGTGTTACGACCTTTGCCCATCAGCGTATTGTATTTGGAGCAAGAGATTCCAATTGAGTCCGCCTTACAAGATCCAGTCAATGTCATGCATACCCTATCCAATTCTGCGAACTTTCGGTCAAAGTTTCTGACAAACACGAACAGCCTTGCTACAGAGACTGGACGTAGGTTGCATATCTTTTCTGATTAACTTTATTTGGCGAATTTGACCTGTATACCGATGTTTCTTATTTTTCGACAAAGTCTTCTCAGCCGTCTCCTCCTGGTACGTTTTGGTGTTCGTCAACATGTAATCGGAGTCGATTATGGGTAGTAATGCTTGGGTTACCTGATTCACCCAAAAACAGAACACGGACTCATTGACGTTTACTCCCTATCCTAACGTGTCGGGACATATGGACACGGTATGTTGTCCATTCCTCCCAGAGACTTATGCAGCTTCAACGAAATCAATAAACGATTTCGGTGTTCCCTCCTCCTGGATATTTGAACGGTCACGCTTCTGGGTGTGGTGAAACCAACTGAACCAGCTAGAATGGATGGTGAGAGAACTGCCTTGTGTGGTCGGCCTCGAGTGTCATGGATTGAGGGCGTGTTCCCTTTTCAGTGTGGCAGGACTACACCACCGTTAATGAGACCGCGAGGTTCTCCGATGCGGGTAAGTTGTGTTCGAAGCATTTGTGTGTAAGACACGATACAATAGCGCGTACTTTGGGTAGCTGTTGACCTTCCATTCGAATCAAACGCAGGCTCGGGAATCGTGTTTGGGCCGACGATAGCCACCAGAAAACCTGCTTTGATCCTCAATCCAAACATTGCAGATTTCTACAACTACACCACATACCAGCCTGGTGTGGGGCAATGGGACCTTTGGACGTTGCAAGTGGTGCGTTCATGAGCGGGTTTACATACCTCCACTCCGCAGAACGTTAATTACAACTTCACGTCGCATCAGAGCGATGGATCCTACAACGGCATGATATTCTACAAAGAGATGTTCTTCGCTTCCACCTACCCTACTCCGCCCACCCCACTGTTTATGGCTCAATGCGATGTTGCAACAGCTAACACTGTTGAAGCCGTTTTGCGAACCTTGAAACCCACGACCCACACTGTCAATACCCTTATTGACGATGGATCTGCAGTGGTGGGGACAGGTGTAGGGAACTTGGCGGCTGGTGGGGTTCGGCCCTTTGTGTACGACAGTGGAGATGACTTCATCAGTGAGATTGGACATGGACTGAGGATTCAATTTCCGGTACGAGTAGGAACTCTCTGTGAACCCGTGAAACCGACATCTGTCTGATATACGTGATCCTTAGAATCTGTCGGACATGCCGGACTCGTCGTCCTCATCAATCAAGCTAAGCAACGGGTCGCATTTCAATCAAGCCCAACGGATCATATCTTCGAGATTATCACTCGTATTCCTGTACGTGATAGCTTACGGGGTGCCAATGGCCTATGGACCCCAAAGAGTGCTCAATCATTTACCACAGCACTGCTATCCCAAGATCCGACTTCCTCGGTCAAGTGGACTGCGGTCAGCGAAACGGATTGATTATGGCGGTGTTGCTCGCCCAGTTGCATTCACCGCCGTAGGGAGTATTGCTTTAACCATGATGGTTAGGGCTCTAGCAACTCTGACAGATGCGATGCGGAAGGTGATGTACGGCCTTGATAATGGAGGAGTGACGTACATGTCCTTGCTGATAACCACTTTCCTAAATCAGCTCACCAAGTTTGATTTCGGCTCCGTCTCACAATCCGGGATGCTGAATGTAAGTATCCTATCGTCGTCCATTCCGCCGTCTGGCACAAGCACTAATTTTCAATGCCATCACATCAAAATTCAGCATCGAAGTATGGTCCTCGAAGCGTACAATGGAGATCGTTTTCGACACAATGTGTGTAAAGCCTTGTAAGTACAGCCGACCCTCTTGCTTCTCATTCTTTCTCCCCTCACCGTGTTCGTGACCACTAACTACTCTCAAACCAAAGTGCCCAAGCCATTAGACGTAACCGGGACATGGCCGCCCGCATGACGAGCAACGTCATGCCTAGCAGTGGCAATGGTCATCATCCGCCAGAATAAAACGGCGTAGCATGGCATCATAGATGGAAGCATGCAATAATGGGCCCCTCACGCACTTCATGCACTCATGATGGGCCTGTGACACACCTGATGAAGAGGATAATTCATTGCTTATTTAAACGTCCAGCAAGCTCTTCCAAATGTGTATTCCAAAGTTACCAGAAGCTCCCAAGTCTCCCTCTCGCCAAAATGATGTTACTGGTGACGTACAGAGGATGCTGCACATGTCTCATCTTCGGAACCTCCTGCCAGCTCATTCAATTGCAAGTCTCAGGTAATGATCACCCCTCTAGCAAGGTGTGAGAAGGGACAGTGACAATTGTGAGTTTCAAGATTTCTAAGTTGGAAAGGTAGCGGAGGATGCACGGAAAGGTATATGTTTGCAACTGCCGCGGGGATGGGGAAACCCTGGCGGAGCTTCGCGTCAGGTTTGGAAAGGAATTGAAAACTGTGCCGCCGCGGATGAAAGTGCGCCTGTGTGCCCGTCAAAGCCACGCCTCCTTCCCATTTCTCCTTCAAGAAATTATATATAACGGTCCCCCCTCTCCAGCGTTTCCGAAAGGTCATACCTGCAATACTCAAAACGAAGAGCACTTTATTACCTTTGACTTCAACGAACAAACAATCATGGAGGTACGTCGGGTGTGCATATCCAACCATTGATGAATCACGACTTAACCGAATCGTCATCAGTTTATCCGCACCCAACTCCGCGCGCTGCCCCAACTCAAACCCTACGACATCAGCACCAAAACCATCGTCGTCACAGGCGCCAACACCGGTCTAGGTTTCGAAGCTGCTCTCCATTTTGCCCGTTTGGGACCTCAGAAGCTCATCGTTACTGCTCGTGACGCGACAAAAGGAGAGGACACCGTTAAGCGGATTGTGGCTGCTACTGGCATAGCGAGGGAAAAGATCGGATACATGGAACTGGAGCTGTCAAATTTCGATAGTGTTAAGAAGTTTGCGAAGGAGTACATCCAGAGTGGCTTGCCGTTGGATGTGTTCGTCCAGAATGCTGGTGTTGCAAAGGAGCATCCGCAATCGACGGGAGATGGATTTGATATTTCGTAAGTTGCAGCGTTCTCAAATCTTCCCCTGGTCTGCTTTCATAAATTCATAGATTTAATCCATCTCTCTATCTCTAGTGTCCAAGTCAACGTCCTAAGTACTTTCCTCCTCTTCTTCCTCCTCCTTCCAATCCTCCGTCAAACCGCTGCCAGGTCCCCATCCAACCCCCGAGTCATCATTGTCTCCTCCGAAATCCACTTCTTCCTCCAAAACCCCACCGCATCCCAACTCTCCGTCGCAGCATTCAACAAAAAGATGGACACAGACCGCTACGCAACCAGCAAACTCCTTGAAGTCCTTCTCGTACGTCACATTGCCGGGTTGCTAGCAAAGTCAAGAAATCCAGAAGACAAGAAGATCATCACACATACGGTCAATCCGGGGTTGTGCCATTCGGATTTATTCAGGGATAATAGTTCTTGGGTGTTTTATTTGATGAAGAAGGCTCTTGCGCGGACGGGTGAAGCTGGGGCGAGGAACTATGTTTGGGCGGCGTTGGATGAGGAGGCGGGACAGGTGGACAGGAATGGGAGATATATCAGTGCCATGGAAATCGCACCGTAAGTGTTTGTGTGTTATCTTGGAATGCTATGCTGCAACAGCACACTGACAATATGGTGCATCACCTTATCAGAGAGTCGGAATGGGTGAGAAGCCCGGCAGGAAAGGAGATGGAGCCTATTGTATGGAACGAGGTTGTTGGGATCCTGGAAGAGAAAGCGGGGCCGCTTAATACCATCCGGGAATGGCAATGAATGTTTGGGCGAGGCATCACAGGTTCCGATAGGCTTATGACTCTTTTAAGTCGTGTACTGTACATAGTCGTAGTTGTTCTAGTATTTGCATCTTGAAGTTCTACAAGATCTTGGATTCATAGCATAATCGATTCTATAGACATTCAAAAATCATTGTCTGTTGTCAAAAAACTGGCAGTGATAGTCCATTTACTACCTCGAAATGCAAAACAGAATCATGTCCTTATTATGATACGATTGGGCTTGTGCGCTGGATGATCCCCGCCCTGCATCTGAAATTTCTCCATGGTGTTTGCGTTTTCCAACAAGACTCATGAAAGAGTCATCTAGTCATGCAAAACGTTGCATCAAACTTGTAAAATATGATATGTTTTTGACAGTCCGTTGCTGAATGCCGAAATGAAACGCCAACTCATTGCCGACCTGGCCAATCGAGCCTAGTTCATGATGGTTCTTCTTAATGTAATACTTTTTGTGTCTAATAGCACAATCAGGGAGACAAAGCGGCTGCCGGAAGAAGTACTGAGCGCATCAGATGAGCCTTCATGTGATCACCAGGAACAAACTTCACATAAATCCTAGCTGGTTCGCATGATCGTGGCGTTTCCCTCCAAC